GCAAACATATCAATAATGGTGAAAAGAATAAAAATATAGACAGGCATTTTTATCTTTAAAATAACAATAGATTCTTTTTCAACATCAATGTCAAAAGTCGAATACAATTGTATTCCTGCTTTTGATATTGAATTTATTCTTAATCTTATTCTTATTCCTATTCTTATTCTTATTATTGTTTATTTTTTGCATTATTCCCAAATAATTCAATTTCTTTTTCTTCCATAAATTATATATACATATTTATTTTACAAGCAATCATTATAATCAATCAAAATTCTCCTAAATCTTTTCTCTCCTTGTGTTTCATATGCTTAATAAAGGTCGAGAATATATCTTTATCTGCTTTAATATATTCACACTAATCGTCTTGTTTTTCTAATAATTTACATTCTTTCATGAGTTCTTGATTATAATATAAAAATTATACTTTTTCCATTATTCTTTTTAATGAACTCTATTCTATCATGTACCTTCTTTTAATCTTCTGTTCTTAAACCATGAATATTAATTAAAGCAACATCTTGATTACGATCTCCTTTAGGCATAAATTTTAAACATGTCAAATGATACCAATGTTTTTTATCATATCCAAATCCTGGTGCTACAAAAACATGCCCAAATCTAATTTCATTTTTTACAATAGTCTAAAAACATCCTGTACATCTAACTCTATTTGATAAAGCATAGCCAACCTCTAAATATTATTACATTTTAATTGATGAAAGATATAATAATCATCAAATTTATATTATTGAAAAATCATTTTAATAATTATATATCATACAATTAATTCTTCTACTTCTAATTCATTATCATAGACTTCTTAAATATAAATCCTTTTATTTACTCTGCATTCTAAGTATAAATCAATCTTTTTAGCTTTGCCATCTTATTTAATATATAATATCACCAAACAATTTATAATATTCATATTCAATTCATACAGAACATTATTTTTATCACATTCAAATTTGATAAAATAAAATAAATGGGTTACCTTCTTTGGAAAGTTCTTTCTAATTAAATTCCCTTATTATATATTTTTTATCATGAGTCACAAATACTAACAGAATTAATTCTATGATAAAGTGACTTTAAATTTAATAATATTATACAACCATTTCTTTATCTATTCTAATAATATATAAAAAGAATGTTTCCTTAAATTTCTTTTTTATCAATTTAAATTCATTATCATATATTTTGAACCCCCAAGGATATACAGAAGCATACCCTAACCAATTTACATCTCTCATTTACTAAATTTAAAATATATACATAATTTATCAAAAATTTCTTGTAATTTATTAATTTTATTAATACCATATCAAGATTGGCTTTTGATATTGGAATAAAAAAATTAATTTTTATTAGAGTGACTTATCAATTTTATGTATATTTTAATATTAAATACTAATCTCAGTCTAATATCATTATCTATTTACTAAGGAATTCGAAATCTTGTGATTCTGCTTCTTCCAAACTTCTTTTGGAAAACTACCCATTTTAACTATTAATTAACCACAATAATAATATATTGATATTAACGAGCATAAATTTTTCAAATTTACTTATAATTCACCCTTCTGCATCTAATTATTTATCTTTTTTTTAAATTACACTAAAAACTTATCATTTTAATTAATTCAATTATGTGTTTTTTTTAACTCTGATAATACTTCCGTTTCTTTATATTTAATATTTAATTTAAGCTAAAATTGCATATAATACAAAAGAACATTTAAAAATTCTGTATAAATTATTAAATTTTTGTTTTAAAGCATATAAAACTTTTATTTACATAAATTAACAATAATATGGGGCTTAATAATAAAATGAAAAAATCATAAATTTATAATTTCTTTGAATTACAACAATAAATTATTAAATAGCAATTTAAAATGAAATAAGAATAATACTTACAGATATTAAGGGATTCATAAGAAATTTAATTACGTGATAAATTTTCCTTGCTATCATCAAAGGCTCATGAATATGTTCTTGAATAAATTAAACAATTAGAATCATAATACAAATAATAAATTCTCTCAATCTTTGAACAGTATTCTGAATGTATGTTAATGTGCAAATAACTCTAATTCAAGAACGAACAATATTCAAAACTCCTATTAGAATAAGAATTTAAATCTATATAGACTAAAAATTATGTGAGCCTCGAAATTGTTAACTAGCTTTTAACACAAAAGATTAATTCGTTATTATTGCAACTCAAAAATAATAATATCATTTCCGAATCTGACTATTTTTCTTAAAAGAATTAACTTTAAATGAATATTGCTGAAATTTATATAAATTGTAATAACAAAGAATAAATTGTTAAGGATTAGGAAAATGATGAAAATGCAAAGTAATTATACATTATGCTTACTTCTAAACAAGAAAGTCAAACTTTAATCAAGAATTTTAATAATTATGATACAATTAAGAATCATAGTGTAGAAACTTAAACAAAATCAATTAAAAAAAAAGAAAAATTAAGGAATTAGTCAAAGATTTAGAATAATATGAAGTAGAGTCCTTCTACCAGTATAGACAGAGAATTACTTGAGTGTAAAAAATCTATTTAAGAATTATAAAAAACTAAGAATGACTTACAAGCTAATAATCAATTTTTAAAATCTTAAAATTAAAATCTTTTAAATAAATTAAATAAGCAATTAAATAAATAAATTAAATGCCACCATAATGTTACTTAATATATGAATAATCCACACTCATCTGTGATTAAAAAATTTCTAAAATTCGATGATATAATTTTTAAAAATGTAAAACCTTTTTCAATGGCTTAAAGTTTTGATTTAAGGTAAGGAAACATAAGTAGTCGATAGTTTTTTTCTAGGCCTAAAACATCTGTTCCAAATTCAACTAGAGGTAGGTTCAATACTATCTAGCAACGATCTAGAAATGATTTTTATGTGTTATGATGATTTTATGTACAAATGATAAAAAATAGAATATTGATTTATAATTTGATAATTTTAAATTTCAATTTAAAGTTTTTTAAGACTAATAATTGAAAACAGGACCTTTTTTTAAAATAGTAAGATCAGTAAGTAGAAATATATTAATTTGATAATAGTGATAATAGAAATAAATTTAAAAAATTGAAAAGCAGAATGGTGAATACTATCGAAAAATAAATTGATGTTTTGATGTAAATTTCATATTGGCGAAGTTATCTCTCAATTAATAAAAAATAATATGGAGAGAATGTATGGAGGATAGAATGAAAGATAAAGAAAATAAAATTAAGTGAAAAGTAAAAATATAAAGTTTAACTAAGGAGATTGGGATTACTTCAAAATAGTTAAAATTTATGTCAAATTTATTTATCTTGGACTACCATTTTGAATATAAAAAATAATTAAAATGTTTAAAATAAAATTATAAAAAAATGGAAATTAAAGGCTTAATTAAGTATAATATAAAATAAAAACTAATTAATAAAAACGAGGAAGAGTATGACATGAATGGCTTTCTGTAGAATTTTAGATTTGAAATAAGTTAAAAAAGAATGATACAGTTGATTAATAAAACAATTAATTTTTTGAGAATATAAAATAAAGATAATAGTAAATGTTAAGATGAATGGTGAAGAATTTAGTAGGAATGTTTAAGGAATAAAATAAAAGTTTATAAAAATAGAGAAGAACATTTTGAATATTTTCAACATGAGAGAGGTTGATAATAAAATTTTATAAAAAATAAATAAATTGATATATAAACACTTTTATTACTTTTATTATGATTGCTGTAGTTAATTAAGAATTAATAATACAGTATTATATATTTATTTATGCAAAGTGGGACAAGGGAAGTAAAATTAGCTGGAAGTTGTGAGATGGAGGATTTAATAAGTAAAGTTTAGTATGTTATTGTACAAGTTTACCCATATGAAGTAGTAAATTAGCATTTCAGTAATTTTGTTGAGAATACAAAAGAGTTTGTAGAAACAAGAGAATAGTTGAATAAAATAGGAGCAAATGTTCGATTGAAATTGGATGATTGGCCAACAATTGAGGAAGTTAAAATGTTATTCTAATTAAATATGTATTCAATTATAAGTAAAATAATTAAAGTTAGAATGCAAGAAAAAGAAGTGTTAAATGGAATGACACTGATAAACGTTTATTTTATTGGATTGTTATTAGATATTGTTTAGTTAAGGATATTAATTCACTTGTAAATAATAAATAAATCAATAGACATTAAATGAATGGAGAGATATTTCTAAAATGATACTTGGACATAATGCACATTAATGCAGATTAAAATGGGAATAAAAATATAAGATTTCTCTTTCTGAAGCTCCTTGGACAGAAGAAGAAGATTAACTTTTATAATAAGTTCATGAGTATAGAATTTATAATTTTATAATTTCTTAGAGAGTTTAGTAGATTGGGAAAAGAAAATAAATGGTCTTAAATAGCCAGAGAAATTTATAAAAGATCACCTAATAAAATATTTAGATAACCAAAATAATGTAGAGAAAGATGGATTAATAGATTAGATCCTAATATTTGCAAGTATAATAGTTAAAAAATATCTAAATTAGTGAACCTTGGTCTAAATAATAAGAAATAGATCTATTAAAAACTATTTTAATAAGGGGTAAAAAATGGTCAGAATTATCAGCATTATATGGTAGAGTAAGAACAGAAAATTCACTTAAAAATAAATATAATTCACTTTTAAAAAAAGAAAAATTAAAATATGAATTTGAAACAATAAATCCATTATTATTTGCTAAAGTATAAAAATTAAGAATGGATTATGCTAAAAAATATGGTAAGATTACACCTATAGAAGAAATTGATAATTATGAATGGCAATTTATTGTTTTAGCTATATAAAGTTTATATATTGATTTATGTGTTTAAGAAGGTAAATATTAAGAAGCTTAGAAAATAAAAAATGATGACTTTTTTGATTTGTTTCATAATGAAATCACTTAAAGTATTCGAAATGATATATTATATAAAAAGCATTTAAATATTAAAAGAGTTGATAATCAATTTTATATTGAAAATGATAGATCAGGTGTAGTAATATTTAATAGAAAAACTAAAAAATTATTCATATCTCCTTTTAATACATTAGATTTTTAAGGAATAATGTTAAAACATCTCTATAAATCAATAAAAAGTGAAGAAAATAATAGTAAATGTCCTACATTAACATAATCAGACCATAATATGTTACTACTTTAATAATCAATAGATGATATTAATAGATAAAGTAATATATAACCAATACTATTATTGGCTAATTAACCTTCATTTATGATGCCACTAGGTTAGAGTATGATTAATAGTTATTGGTTACCTCCAGTATTACCATGTATGTCATAATCTATAGGTGGTGGTGGATATTAGTAATAATAATAATAAAATATCTAAAACATTATAGATTAGAAAAAATAAACTAGTTTCGATGATTTATTCGGAAATGATATTAAAGTCGTTGATTCAGATGGTGAAAAATGATAATTTTATAATCGTTAATCTTTTATTTTAAATATAAATATATTTATTTTATGTCTTCTTAAGATGAAGAATTATTAGAATTACATTCAAGATATGACAATCTACAAAAACTTAATTAAAACATTTTTATTGAAAATTAACAATTACTAATTGAAATTCAAACATTAAAGTAGGTAATATCATCTAATCTTATTCAAGACTTTTAATTAATTTTAAACAGAAAATAATCAATTAAATGATCAAATTGAAAATCTCAAGAATGATTTAAGAACTCAGTTTTCTCTTAGTTAAAGTTTAAGATAAGAAAATGAATTCTTTGAAAATTAAATACATTAGTACAAAAAATAAATCGAATCTGATGGTTCATATTATAATTAAATTATTGAACAAAATGATTTTCATATATAGCAAATCTAATATAAAAATCAATAAAATGAATAACTAATATAAGAGAATCATTTGTATAAAGAATAAATACAATCCCTACAAGAGGACAATGAATAACTAAACTAAGAAGTTACAAATTTATAAGAATCACTCAATAATTATGCTTCTTATCATTAAGATCCAAAACATCTATAAAATTCTGATCAAAATAAATATATTAAAAAATAAAATAAAAAGAAAATTAAGGAATTAGAAATATTAATTGTTAAAAAAGAATAAGAAATTAGTTTGTTGTATTCTAAAATTGAGGATTTAAAACATTATATTTAACAAATAAAATATCAATCTGAAAAATATGAATCAAATCTTTCACTTTTGTATAGTGAATATTAATAAATTGAAATTGAAAGAAATAATTTAGCCTCAAAAATTGATTCTATTTAAAATTCAAATGAAAGATTTTCTAATTTATAGTAACAATATTCAAACTTGGAAAAAAATAAAAATAAAGAGTATTTATAGTTAAAGATTTAATATGATCAATTACAATTGCAAAATTAATAATTTCAATAATAAATTTAAACAATAAATCAAGACTTTATTATTCTTACTAATAAATATTCTGATTTATAAGAATTGAATAAATAATATGTGTAAGAATCAGAAACTCTAAAAACTTAAGTACTTGAAAAAGATTCCATTATAGAAAAAACATAATTACATATAGAATAGTAATAAATTATAGATTTCTAAATTTAATAATAAGCAAAAGAATTTAATTTATAATTGAAAGAATTATAATAGAGTAAGTCTGATTAATAATCTTAAATTATTTAAATATAGAAAGAAAATCAAATGTATTTGGGCCAATTAAATTAATTAAAAGATCAATAATCTAAAGATCTCAAAGAGAAATTAATTTAAATTGAAACTTTAAAAAAAGAAAGATAGAATCTCATGGATCTTATAAAAGTTAAAGATGAAAAATAAGTAGAATTGGAAGTAAAATAGAAGAATTCTGAAAGTTTAATAAAAAAAATTTAATAAGAAAAAACATTTTTAGAATAAGCAGAATAGTATAACATAATAATAAATTTAGATCCTTTGAAGAAGTCTCTTAATAATGTATGCAATTACAAGATTAAAATAGAGATCTCTTAAGGTAAGTTGCTAATTTAGAAAATGATTTACAAAAAAGTGAAGAAGAATTGAGATAATTGAAAAGAAATAATAAAAAGTATTAATATTGATTTTAAATAAAGTTCTTAGAATTTTGATAAAAATACATAGTAAATGATTTTGAAAGATAGAGAAATATTGCATTTGTAATAAGTAGTAGAAAGATTGGAAGGAATGAATAGATAACTTTAATAGGAATGTGATAAACTTGCATCTAAAATTCAATTAAGTTCACATGAGAATACATTATTAAGTAGAACAAATAGAGAAATTAGTTAAATGGGAAAACTATTGATAGAAGGATAATAAATAAAAGAGATGTTAGAAAAGAAAAAACAAGAAAAACCATTAGGACTTACAACTTATCAAGCTCCTTAAGTGATTTAGTAGATATAATAACTTAGTAGAAGACCATCAGTAAAAAAATCTTGAATTACTTAATAAATTTTGAGAGTAATTAAAATCTCTTGATAATAACTTATTGTTCTTAATAAAAATTAAAAAGAAATTTAGACAATGGTTTAAGATCAATTTTTTTCTTTTTTAAAATATTAAAATTATTATTTTTATTCTTCTTTTCTTAATTTTCTTTGTTGAATAGCTCTTTCATTAATTTTTTCCATATATTCACTAAATGATATAGCTTTTTCTTATCCATCTTTATTTTTTTCTTCATCTCCAAATATAGCATGAATTTCTGAATCTAATGATTATCTACCAAATCTAACATAGAGTAATTCTAATGTATCCTAATGTGTATATATAAATATAAATTACCTCAACAGTTATTTTTGGATCTTTTCTATCTGGAGGTAAATACATTAAAAATTAAACCATATGAAATAAACTCTTTGGTTCAAGTCCTGTTTTATCAATAGTACATTTTTTGTACATATTTAAAAATTCAGTCCAGCTAACTTTACCATCAAGATTTTCATCAACTTCCTATAAAATAAATAAAATAAAGTATACCCATAACATTAAATCAATTTCTGATTTATTTAAGGCTACTCCCAAAAATCTTAGCATTTTATCAACATCTTTCATATCAAAATAATCGACATCTTTCTTTTTTAACATCTAAAAAACTCTATACAAAATTTTATTTAATATTTACTTTTCTAATTATTTTTTTTCACTTGCCTTGATTTCAACACTCTCTAATTTTTATTCAATTGGCTATTCTTTCTCTATTTTTTTTTATTTCATCCTTTGTACATCAACTTAAATATTAGCTTTAGGAATTTAAGGTTTTGGAAGTATGCCCATTGCTGCATAACGTTCTTTTACAGATGAAGGCAATAAATTTAAATCAAGTTTATTTCCTTTTTTTTTCTTCTTTTCATCATCCATTTTTTATTCGAAAAAAAATTAAATAAAAGAAGAATATTGAGTTTTACCAAAAGTAGGCTTCAGAAAGAACTATTTTCAAAATATTACAATTTCTAAACATATCATCTTTGATGATTCAAATAAGAAACTAATTATTTATTATATTTAGTAAACAAACTTTCCATAATTTATAGATGGTAATTCTAATTATCATCTAAGTTATTTAATTTTTAAACATAAATTACAAAATGATTAGAAGAATACTTTTCTAATAAAAATCTAATTTTTGATAATAGGAGTTATAATGCATATAATAGTTAATTCTAAATTCAATTAATTTAGAATGATTACTAGTTTACCAATAATTTAGTTTATTTTAACATA